TTCCTGCTGGTCGTCGACGACTACACGCGTTACACCACGGTCTTCCCCTTGCGCAGCAAGGGGGAGGTCCCTGATGTTTTGATCCCCTGGATCCGCGCTGTTCGTCTCCAGCTCCGCGAGCGGTTCCAGTCGGACTTTCCTGTCCTGCGTCTGCACTCTGACAGAGGTGGTGAGTTCTCCTCAGACCTCTTGGCAGCCTTCTGTGCGGAGCACGGCATCCGCCAGACGTTCACGCTTCCGGCCTCTCCGCAGCAGAATGGGGTTGTTGAGCGCCGCATTGGCTTAGTCATGGAGGTCGCTCGTACCTCCATGATCCATGCGGCTGCCCCCCATTTTCTGTGGCCGTTTGTGGTCCAGTACGCCGCGCATCAGCTCAACCTCTGGCCCCGTGTCTCCTTGCCGGAGACCTCGCCCACACTGCTGTGGACGGGGAAGGTTGGCGATGCGTCGCGTTTCCGGGTCTGGGGTGCTCGTGCCTTTGTCCGCGATACCACCGCGGAAAAACTCTCCGCTCGCGCCATTCCCTGCGTCTTCCTTGGCTTTGTTCCTGACGCACCTGGCTGGCAGCTTTACGACCCAGCCTCCCGCCGTGTCTTTCCGTCTCAGGACGTCACCTTTGACGAGTCCGTCCCCTTTTACCGTCTCTTTCCCTACCGCACTGCCCCTCGCCCCCCCCCCCCGCCGCTCTTTCTCGCCCCAGGTCCTCCCCAGGTAGACCCCCTCCCCGCGCCAGGTCCTGCTCCTTCAGGTGTTTCTCATGTAGACCCTCCCGTGCCTGCGCCTGTTGAGGTCACTGGTGACTCAGGTCCTACTGGGGGTGGTGCTGTCTTTGGGGGTGCTGAGCCTGGGGGTGCGGAGCTTGGGGGTGCTGAGCCTGGGGGTGCGGAGCTTGGGGGTGCTGAGCGTGGGGGTGCGGAGCTTGAGGGTGCTGAGCCGGGGGGTGCGGAGTCTCGGGGTGCTGAGCCTGAGCGTGAGGAGCTTGGAGGTCCTGAGCCTGGGGGTGCTGAGTCTGGGGGTGCGACGCCTGAGGGTTCTGAGTCTGCTCCTGCGCGGTCTCCTTGGAGTAGCCGCCTTCGTACGCGTGTGCCTCTCACCTCACAGCAGCTGCACGACTGGTACGGTCGCCGTCAGGGTCGTGCTTCTGGAGCTCGGGGCTCTGCCGCTGGAGGTACTTCTGCTGACACCACTGGAGCTGGGAGTGGTGCTGGTCCCGGAGGTGCTCGCACTGGAGGTGCTGGAGCTGCTGGGGCTGGAGGTACTGCTGAGCCTGAGGGTGCTACTGCTGGAGACCCTGGGTCTGGGGGTGCTGTTGCTGGAGACACGGAGGCTGGAGACCCTGGGACTGGAGGTGCCGGTTCTGGGGGTGCTGCTGAGGGTACTGGAGCTGCTGGAGGTGCTGGAGCTGCTGAGGGTGCTGGAGCTGCTGAGGGTGCTGGAGCTGCTGAGGGTGTTGGAGCTGCTGGAGGTGCTAGAGCTGTTGAGGGTGCTGGAGCTGCTGAGGGTGCTGGAGCTGCTGGAGGTGCTGGAGCTGCTGAGGGTGCTGGAGCTGCAGGAGGTGCTGGAGCTGCTGAGGGTACTGGAGCTGCTGGAGGCGCTGGAGCTGCTGCGGGTGCTGGAGCTGCTGGTGCTGGTGGCACTGCACAGCCGCGCCTGTTCTTTGCTCCACCGTCTCTGTCGTCTCTGCCACCGCCTGACTCCGTACTTCGCCAGGTTCTTAGCATCCCGTCGTCTACTGGTCTTCCGTTACAGCCTGGCTCACCTCTGCCTGCTCCTTCTCCTTACGCTGAGCAGACAGGGGGCTTTACTGAGCGTCGTGAGCCTACGTCGCGTCCTGTCTCACCTGTCCGTTCTGGTCGTTCCAGTCGTCGTGTTCCTCGTCAGCGTCCGCCGGCTGTCCCCGGTCCTTCCCTTGTAGTCCGTCGTCCTTCCTCTCCTCCGCAGCGTGTTCCTCTGCCGTCCCCTCCGGAGTCTTCTCTGCCTGTTGTTCCAGACCCTGAGTCTGACCGGTTTCGTGCTGAGCACCCTACTGTCACGCGTCTGCTAGCCACTGTTGTCACTGACCCGTCGTTTGAGTCTGCTGCTGCGTCTGCCTTAGTCGCTGAGCTTGTTGACTTTGCTGCTGCCTGTCGTCTAGACTACGCTGCTAGTCTTGTTGCTGAGTCTGAGTCTGTCTGTCCTCCGTCCGTCGGGGGTGAGTGTGCTCTTGGCACGGACGTCCTTGAGGACAGGCACGAGGACCTTGAGTGTTTTGCAGCCGCTGTGCCTCATCTTGTGTCCATGCTGCTTGCCCCTGAGGGAGACCCGGATGCACCAGACATCCCGACCCCGCGCTCTTACGCTGAGGCGATCGCGGGTGAGTACTCCTCTCAGTGGCAGACAGCCATGGATGCAGAGATGGCATCCTGGAAGTCCACAGGCACCTACGTCGACGAGGTTCCCCCTCCTGGGGCGAACATCGTCAGTGGCATGTGGATTTTCAGGGTGAAGCGGCCGCCAGGTTCTCCGCCTGTCTTCAAGGCTCGTTACGTTGCTCAAGGTTTCAGTCAGCGAGAGGGGGTTGACTTCTTCCAGACCTTCTCCCCCACCCCGAAGATGACCACTCTTCGGGTGCTGCTGCACGTTGCCGCCCAGCGTGACTACGAGCATCACTCTCTTGACTTCAGCACAGCTTTCTTACAGGGCAGCCTGCACGAGGAGATCTGGCTGCGCCGCCCACCTGGCTTCACTGGTTCGTTCCCTCCTGGTACCCAGTGGAGCCTCCGGCGGCCGGTCTACGGTCTCCGCCAGGCGCCGCGTGAGTGGCACGACACACTGAGGACGACACTTGCGGCTCTTGGGTTTTCTCCGTCGACTGCTGACCCGTCGCTGTTTCTGCGCACCGACACTTCACTGCCGCCGTTCTACATCCTCGTGTACGTCGACGACTTGGTCTTTGCCACTGCTGACACTGAGGCTCTCGCCCTGGTGAAGTCGGAGCTGCAGAAGAGACACACGTGCACAGACCTGGGTGAGCTGACAAGCTATCTTGGCTTGCGGATCACCCGGGACAGAGCACGCCGCACCATCACACTGACTCAGTCACACATGGTGCAGCAGGTCCTTCAGCGCTTCGGCTTCACCTATTCCTCGGCACAGCCCACTCCTCTGGCTACAGGTCACTTGCTCTCAGCTCCACCTTCGGACGAGTCCGTAGAGCCGAGTGGTCCTTACCCAGAGCTAGTGGGCTGCCTCATGTACCTGATGACCTGCACTCGTCCTGACCTTGCGTACCCTCTTGGCCTTCTGGCTCGCTACGTGGCTCCTGATCGGCACCGAAAGGTGCACATGGATGCTGCTAAGAGGGTACTACGCTACTTGTGCAGTACATCGGGCATGGGGCTCGTGCTTGGAGGACGGAGCGACGTTGTCCTCACTGGGCACTTAGACGCTTCTTGGGTTGACGACCAGGCTACGCAGCGGTCGTCACAGGGTTACACCTTCAGCCTTGGCTCTGGTTCGGTTTCTTGGCGTTCTACACGCTCGTCTTCAGTTCTCAGCTCCAGTTGTGAGGCTGAGATCTACGCCACAGCCATGGCTGCACAGGAGTTACGCTGGCTCACCTACCTGCTGACCGATTTGGGAGAGAGGCCTCGTTCTCCTCCAGTGCTGTACGTCGACAACAAGGCCGCCATTGCCTTGTGTCAGGAGCACAGACTGGAGCACAGAACGAAGCACATCGCTCTGCGTTACTTCCTTGCTCGAGAGCTACAGCAGCGTGGTCAGCTTCGTCTTGCTTACGTGGCCACTCGGGCCAACACTGCTGATATATTCACCAAGGCACTTCCGCCTGGTGATCATCAGCGTTTCTGTACTTTGTTAGGCCTTGTGCCCACGTTTCCTCACTTGCTGTAGGCTTTGTTTGTACTGTGATCTATATATATATACCTGCATGCTTGCTCTGGTAGGTAGAGATCACTGTGCTGTTGTTGTTACGTATATATCTCTGCATGTGAACTGGCCCTGTGGCCTTTTTTGCTTGTGCTCAGACTGCGTGGTGACGTTGTGATCCACCCTGAGCTTGCTTTGCACTTCCTGCCTGGTCTTGTGACCCTCTGTTCTCCCCCACTTTGCCTATGGGGGTGTGTCAAACATATGTTTATATGTTGTAGTTTAGGTAGGCTTTAGTGGGGTACTCACTGTGGGGTACAACCCCTTAGGCTTTTCCTCTTGTACCAAACTCTCGATAGTCGAAACCACCTTGCCTAAGCTTTGACAGTCTGTGCCTATTTCCAAGCCAGCAAGGGCTTGGGAAGGTTGCAATCATCATCGGTCATCGGCGTTCGCAAATGAAGAGCGCCGGCTGCACTTCCTGCACATGTGCGGATCCTTCCGCGTTTTGGGGCTGGAAGCACACGTTCCGAGTGTTTTTCTTTCGCCTGGTCACATGACTGTGCTTGTCTAGGCTTATTACCAAGACACCAAGGGCTTGGGAGGGTTGCGAGCATCATCGGTCATCGGCGCTCGCGAATAAAGAGCGCCCGCTGCACTTCCTGCACATGTGCGGATCCTTCCGCATTTTAGGGCTTGAACTGACGCGTTTACTAGTATCCCTGATTTAGTCCACATTCGCACCTTTTGTATCACAAATGTTCCACCATCCACACCCTTAACCTTTCACCAACTCGCTGTTCGGTATGAATCATACAAAAGAGGGGGATTCCATAAGCTTTGAATTCCCAATCAGCCATTCTATCCATAAGCGAGTGTGGTGCGATGTCGTATGAAGTGATTATAAGTAACAAAAACAGGGCTGACATCCAGGCAGGCAGCCTCGCCAAGGGCAGGACTCTGGAAGATCACAGCTGCACTCACCCACCCAGCCACCCACCCACCAATCTTACACACCCACCATCCCAAATCCTTTCTGCCCCATGCTTCCTCAACTCAACCTCCCAGCTACGGTATGCTCCAAGCAGCAGCACCAGCAGCACCCATCAGCCACCCTCACCCCCCTCTCTCTGTCATCTTCGAGCCGAAGCCAACTCAGACCCAACCCGCGGCCGCCCCTTAGGGCTCTTCCTCGCCTTCTCAGCAATCTCCGCCACCTCAGCGTCCCGCACCCACCACTCCACCACCTCCCCCGGCCGCACCTCCCTTTGGCACGCTTTCCTCGTCTCCTCCGTCAGCAGCGGGTACCGGTTAAACCGCGCCTCACTAGCGTCCAAGTCGTCGCCGCCCATCTCTGGCACGCTGGTGCGGTGCACGAGGACCGTCATGACCTGCCGCGGGTCCACGGCGACGCGGCGGTAGCCGAATTCGCCGAGGCACATCTCGGCACGCGGGTACTCGTCCTTGTTGGTGCAGAACAGCTGCGGCCAGTGGAAGCGCATGCGCTCCACTGCCCACACGGGTGAGACTGCTGGAGGTGCCTGGGCTGCTGCTGCTGCTGTAGTGGTGGTGATGGTGGTGGTTGTAGCAGTAGCAGCGGTAGCAGCGGTGCCAGCAGCACCGGCTGTGCCGATACCAGCAGCAGCAGCACCGGCTCCACCACCAGATGCACCAACACCACCACCACCACCTCCTGCAGCACCCGCAGTACCACCACCAGTACCAGCAGCAGCAGCACCACCACCACCAGCAGCACCTGCAGTCCCAGCAGTACCAGCAGCAGCAGCGCCACCGCCACCACCAGCACCAGCAGTAGCACCAGCACCAGTGGTGCCAGCAGTGCGAGCAGCATCAGCACCTGCACCTGCCCCAGCTCCCGTGCTATTACCCACTGACCTTAACGCCGACCCTCCCCCACCCCCCCCCACCCGCCACACCAAGCAAGCTCCTCCCACCCGCACCCATCCCAACCCCTCCCCCGGCGCCGTCCACCTGAACGCACTTCTCAAGGGACCACCATCTGCTCCCAAACGACACGTACGGGCGCCCTTCAAACCTACTCAGCACCGCCGCCATATCCTCTCCAGACCTCGACGAAAAGTACTCGCTCAGCTCGGCAAAGAACACCCACTGGGAGGTGAACGCGTGCTGGTGCACACAGTCATTCATCGCCAGCAGCCGCCCAGACTCCCAGATATCAAACTGCTCCACGCGCCGCATGTCCACGATCTGCACGTACCCGCCCTCCACAAACCCCTCTATCAGCCCCATGATCTCCGGATCTAACGCCCCTGCGTCGTACAACACGACCCGGTCCACCCCCACGTGCAGATGGTACTCTATCCACTCGTACACGCGCATCGGGATGAGCTTCGTGGCGAGCGGCGGCGAGCAGTAGGTGAGGCGGTGGGGGTAGGGCGGGGCGGGGTTGGCGGAGGGGAACTGGCCCTGGTCCTCGATGTAGGAGACGATGTCTTCTTTGTCCACCGTCACCACCAGGATGCCGCCAAAGTCCTGCGCTGTGGATTCTTCGAGTTCACACACCAGTACAACCGCCTCGTACCGCTTGTTGTGGTCGTCGCCAGGGTAGTAGGCTGCGCAGGGTGGGAGCAGTGGGGTTTGGGGTGCGGGGGAGGAGATGTGGGGAAAAAGAGAGAGGTGGGGAGTGAGGGGGAGAGAAGTGTTCAGTGAAGAGGAGGAAAGATGTGGTTTGAGGAGGGGGAAGGGGAGAGGTATAGCTTCTCAAGTGACTTTCATTCCATCCAAGTGCATCCACTCTCTTCATAATATAACTCCATCACGCAATCTCTGTTGACCCACTCCCTCTCACTTCCACTGCTATCTCCCTCCCAACCCCATCCTGCTCACCACCTTCCCCTATTTCATCCATCTCACCCATGTTCAACTCCTTCCCCCATCTCTGGTTCACCCCCTTCTCAGGTTCACCCCCTTCTCAGGTTCACCCCCTTCTCAGGTTCACCCCCTTCTCAGGTTCACCCCCTTCTCAGGTTCACCCCCTTCTCAGGTTCACCCCCTTCTCTGGTTCAACCCCTTCTCAGGTTCACCCCCTTCTCAGGTTCACCCCCTTCTCAGGTTCACCCCCTTCTCAGGTTCACCCCCTTCTCAGGTTCACCCCCTTCTCAGGTTCACCCCCTTCTCAGGTTCACCCCCTTCTCAGGTTCACCCCCTTCTCAGGTTCACCCCCTTCTCTGGTTCAACCCCTTCTCAGGTTCACCCCCTTCTCAGGTTCACCCCCTTCTCTGGTTCACCCCCTTCTCTGGTTCACCCCCTTCTCAGGTTCACCCCCTTCTCAGGTTCACCCCCTTATCAGGTTCACCCCCTTCTCAGGTTCACCCCCCTTCTCAGGTTCACCCCCTTCTCTGGTTCACCCCCTTCTCAGGTTCACCCCCTTCTCAGGTTCACCCCCTTCTCAGGTTCACCCCCTTCTCAGGTTCACCCCCTTCTCAGGTTCACCCCCTTCTCAGGTTCACCCCCTTCTCAGGTTCACCCCCTTCTCAGGTTCACCCCCTTCTCAGGTTCACCCCCTTCTCAGGTTCACCCCCTTCTCAGGTTCACCCCCTTCTCAGGTTCACCCCCTTCTCAGGTTCACCCCCTTCTCTGGTTCACCCCCTTCTCAGGTTCACCCCCTTCTCAGGTTCACCCCCTTCTCAGGTTCACCCCCTTCTCAGGTTCACCCCCTTCTCAGGTTCACCCCCTTCTCTGGTTCACCCCCTTCTCAGGTTCATCCCCTTCTCAGGTTCACCCCCTTCTCAGATTCACCCCCTTCTCTGGTTCACCCCCTTCTCATGTTCACCCCCTTCTCAGGTTCACCCCCTTCTCAGGTTCACCCCCTTCTCAGGTTCACCCCCTTCTCAGGTTCACCCCCTTCTCAGGTTCACCCCCTTCTACCCCCATGGCCCTGTGCCTACCGTCCTTCTCCCACTGTCCTACCTCACCCTCCTCCATTCCCCCTCCCCCTTCCCCCATCTACCCCTCCCCCCTCCCTCCCCACTCACCAAAGAGGCCCAGTAACTGTGACCCTATGGCCCCCTGCCTTCATCCTCTCCTCCCCCTCCTCCCCCCTCTCCCTTCCCCTACTCACCCACGAGCTGCCCCGTGACCCTATGTCCGCCGTGCTTCTCCTTCCACAGGCACCTGCCCAGCTCGCGGGAGGTCTTGAGCACGCGGGACGCCAGGCCCACCACGGCGAACTTGCTCTCGCCCATGCGGTAACTCGCGAACTGCACGAACCCAAACGTGGGCATGTGCTCGCGAAACACGTTGTTGCGCGTCACCTCCTTCGCCACCTTCGAGTTGGGGTCCTCTAGAATCGCCTTCACCAGTTCGCGCCTCTTCTCCGTGTCACTCAGGTCGGATTGCGGGTCGAAATGGCTGGAAGAAGCGTCTACGTCTCCCCCCCCTGCTGCTCCCGCCGCCCCTGCAGTGGTCCCCGCTCCCCCTCCTGCTGCGCCTGCGGCCCTTGCTGCGCCTGTTCCCGCTGCTGTGGCCGCCATGCCTCCGCCTGACGCGCCTGCCCGCCCCCCTCCCGCTGCCCCCGCCGTTAGTCCCCCTCCCGCTGCCCCCGCCGTCAGTCCCCCCCCCGCTGCGCCTGCCGCGCCTGCAGCTTCAGCTCGCGGCTGCGGCTGCTGCTGCTGCGCGCCCCCTTGCTGCTGCAGAACCCGCGGGTCCACTGGATTTTTCGCTGCTCCTGCCCCTGACTGAGCTTGCCCCGCCCCCGCTTGCCCCCCGCCCCCCTTCCCTGCTTCCGCTTTCTCTCCCGCTGCCGACTTAGTCCCTGCCCCTGCGGCTCCCCTTCCTGCGCCCGCCCCACCTGCTGCGCCATTCCCCCCATTCGAGACTGTCGCTAGCTGTTGTTGCCGCCGGTTTTGAACGAGGAGAAGAATGAGCAGAACCGCGATGACTATGTAGGGCAGATTCTGCTTAATAAGTGCCGACAGGTAGTGCGATCTGCTGCTGCTGTACATGGCGCGGCGTCGCCTAAGCATGGCGATGTGCGGGTTCACGTCGCCCGCTCTGTGATACGACGGCGGCGAGTCGTGGGCCGTCGGATCGTCCTCCATCTCCACATACGTCGTCTCGGGGGGACTATCGTACGGCGCTACTCCCGGCGCCGGTATTCCCGAAACGTACCCCCCACCGCCCCCCCACCGCCGCTGCTCCTGCGCGCCCCATTCCCGCCGCGGACCCGCGCCTCCGCCATATGCGCCGCCGTACGCGCCGCCGTACGTCGCGGGGCCTCTCCCGCCGCGATGCATCCCCCCGTCGCGCATGCCGGGGTCCCGCATCGCCATGGATCGGAGCGCGAGCTCACTCATTCCTGTATCGCGTACGACGCCCGGCCCCTCCCGCGCGCCTGGTCCCCGCATGCCCATGTCCCGCATGCCTGGCCCGCGCATCCCCATTCCCCCCATGCCCCCCATGTTTCCCCCGCGGCCCATGCCTGCTCCGCGCATGTCCGCTTGCCTGAAGCTGCCATGCGGGGAGTCCTGCACCGTGGGGGAGGCAGACGGCATTTCTGCCGCATACGCGGATACTAGAGCTGACTATGCGGCAGCAATCAGGGTTGACCGATCGAACAAGCGTAACGGAAAGAACGCCTATCTAATTGGTAGAATCCACTGAGCTGCAGGCGACTGCCGTAAATTCTCGACTGGAAAAGGTTACCCAGACGCCGATAAGCAACGCCTGTGGGCTGTGTTAAGGGTACTCCGCTGCGCCAAATAACACCCTCGTTTTGACCCAGTGGGTAGCGAGGTGTTACATTTGGAATCAGAGTCTAGGATTCGATTCTCAGCTGGACCACACTTTCCGCCTTTGGCGAGAACTGAAGTGCAGTTGTAACCAGCTCATACCCAGCGAACAATCCTCCGCTGGCCTGAGCAACCAGCGAAGTCGCAGCCAGCAGCACTGCGAAATCTAGGTCCCAGCGGCAGGGGGCCGACTTCCTGAAGTCCAGGGCCAACGGGGACGTTGGCACCAGGGGGGGACGAGTGTAACGCCTGTGGGCTGTGTTAAGGGCACTCCGCTGCGCCAAATAACACCCTCGTTTTGACCCAGTGGGTAGCGAGGTGTTACACCTACCGTCTAGTCTTTTCAGGAGGAAGAAAATTTATCAGTGTGCTCGGCAGTGAGGAGACTGTTCGCGCTAAGCCGGCTACACCAGACTATCGCTCCCTCACTTCCTGCCTCACCTTGAAAGCTTCGTGCTGGTGGTAGGTTGATTTGAACGTGTCTGAAGTACACCCGAAACGAATGTTTAGAGACGAAACGAATTCAGATGCAATGTTCAATATTGAAACGCGTGGTGCGGAAGGTGGTGGAAGCGGCCGCGTCGCAATCAGGAGGGGATTATGTCTTGTTGCTGGCGAGGCTGAACGCGGGGCTTCGAGCTTACGCCAAGGAGGAGAGCAAGCGGGTCAAGGCGACGATGCGTCGCTTATCGGCAACGGTGGCGACCCTGAAGCAGGCGTTGCTGGGAGCGCCTGGATGTGCGAGGACGCGTGATCTTCTGAGGGTGCGGGAAGGACAGCTGAGGGAGTATCAGTCCTCTCGCCGTGACAGATTGCACCTGATGGCGGGCTACGGAGTGGAACTTAAAGGGGAAGTGGCTTCGAAGCATCTCTCTGCAAAAGTGAAGGCCAGGAAGCAGCGTACCAGGATAGAGGAGCTCAAAGTCAACGGTGCAACGGTTAGTGACAGACAAGGCATCCTTGACGCAGCGGCAAAATTTTTTGACGGCTTATTCGGAGCGGATAGGAGGACTCACCGGTCGTGCTGGTCACCTGACCGCAGGTTGTCAGCGGAGGAAGCGGACGGACTGACTCAGGATTGGTCGGAGTTGGAGGTGAAAGAGGCTTTCAAAAAACTGGCTTGTGGGAAGTCGCCAGGTCTTGACGGTATCCCGAATGAGCTTTTCGAGCAGCACTGGGATGTACTGGGGGAGGGCTTCATGGGGCTGGCGCGCTCCTTCTCTGCCTCCGCCTCGCTTCCTGCCAGCACCAAAGAGGCGGTTACGATCTTATTGCACAAAAAGGGGGACAAGGACAGTTTAAACAACTACCGGCCCATCACGCTGCTCAATTTCACGTATAAGGTTCTGGCGAGGGTGGTGGCGGACAGGATGAAGAAGGTGCTGCACTGGGTTATCTCCAAGGAGCAGTACGGGTTCATCCCGGGTAGAAGGCTGTCGGATGCGGTCAGTTTGGTTGCGGACATCATTGATGCGGCGAACAAGGGGAACAAGGACTGGTTCTTGTTACTTGTGGACTTCCAAAAAGCTTTCGACTCGGTCTCGCGCGGTTTCCTCTTCGAAACCTTGGAGAAGATGGGGTTCCCTCCGCGCTTTGTGGGATGGGTGAAGGGCCTGCACAAGGAAACAAGAACGAGGTTGTTAATCAACGGCTGGAAATCGGATGCGTTGGAAGTAGTATCCGGGGTGCGGCAGGGCTGTCCTCTTGCTCCGTACCTCTTTATTTGCGCGGTGGAGCCCTTGGCGCAAGAAGCGGCGAAGAGACAGCTCGGCATCGTCAGTGATTCGGGGTGGAGACTGCCGTACCTGGGCTATGCGGACGACACCACACTCCTGCTGCAAGGAAGGGAGCAGATCGCCGAAGCGGGGAAGCTGCTGGGATATTTTGAGAACATCTCGGGTCTGGCCACAAACAAGGAGAAATCTGTTGTCATGCCGCTGGGGAGGAACCTGGGCAGTCGCCCTTGGAGGCCGGATGGCTTCAAGTGGGCCGGCGCAGATGATGCGGAAAGATTGCTTGGGGTGTGGATTACAGCTTCAGGCAACTGCAAACCAACGTGGGACAAAACACTGACACGATTACTGGGGGAGCTAGCGAAGTGGGAGCTGAAATTCCTCACGATCACGGCCAGGGCGGTTGTCATCAATGGTTACATCACGCCGGTGGTGGTCTTTCAGGCCCAGGTCTACCCGCCCCCGGAGGAAGTCTGGAACAGGATCACGAAGCTGATCCATAATTTCCTCTCGGGGAATAAGGCGTCGGCGGAGGGATGTTTCATCCTGTGGGGGAAGGACACGATTTTCGCAGAAAGAAGGGAGGGAGGAATTGGTGTAAGGGACCCCGGCATTCTGCTCGCCTGCCTGGCTGCCAGACGGATTGGTCTCCTGCTCACGGAGACGATGGACTTCAAACGCGACATGATGCTCGCGGCGGCGGGGTTGCCGCTGGGTCTGGACACCTTTTTGTCTCACGAGAAGCTGTTAAAACACTGGGTTGGGGGGAGTGTCCGTTGGAAGCAAACGTGTAAGTGTTTCATGTCGTCGCCGTTGGCACCAGCCAGCACTCCCTTAACTGCTGTTGAGGTAGCGGCGGAGCGGCTCGTTTTCAACAAAGGGATTCTGCTCAACGGGAGAACGCCGGTGGGAGGGCAACAAGCTGCTAAAGGGCTGTGGGAGACGCGACTGGGAGACTTGGTGGAGCCAGCGGCAATCGGAGGCATGGTGGTCAAAAGTGAAGAAACCCTAGCAAGAGAGTTGGGAGGGGTGGGGCCTGCTCGGCTGGCTCTGAAAGGCCTGGCAGCAGCGCCTGAAAATTGGAGAGATACCCTGCTGGCTGCAGCGGATGGGTTCCAGGGAGCAGGTGGGCGGAACAACGTTGCGGAGGTTCCAAGGGCAAAACTACTCCGCTCTTCTATTTTTCACCTCGGCCAGATCGCCCCGCTTAAGCAACTGCGGTTAGCCTGGAGGAAGCGGGGGTACTCGGCGCGAAGGAGGGAGAAGTGGGCCGACCGGTGGGGGGGGGCAATTGACTGGAAGCGGGTGTCAAAGATTCGGGACTCGCTCGCCACGCCTAGTCGCCCTCGTGATGTTTTAATTAGGGTACACAATTTTAACCTTCAGGTGGGGGAAAGACTGGCTTTTCTCAGCTCGAAGCCGAAGTGTCCTTATTGTTCGGAGGAGGAGACGATAGAGCATTGCCTTTTCGAGTGCCCGACAATTCAGCCTGTGGTTGGGGCTCTAAGAACGGCTCTGCGGATGATCAATCCTGGGCGCACAATCTCTTCGCTGGGGGACCTCCTTTTCAAGCGTGCGGCGTCCAGCTCAGCATTTCCAGAAGCAACATTGACTGCCATCACCATCCATCAGCTGTGGGTCGAAAGGTGCGAGTCAGCATTTCGGGACCAGAGGTTCAGGTTGCGGCGGGTTCTGTGGAGAATAGAGGCAGCTTTCCGGCTGCATGCGAGGATCTTCATGAAACACACGGGGGAAAAGCTGCAGAAGGACAAAACAACCGGGCAGAAGATGACACGTGGAGGGGGGCCACCCCAGGAGTTGAAACTTTTGGATCGCATCAGGGACAGCAATGCCAAGAAATGGACATGGAAGGCCGGTTTCGCGGCCATATGGACACGACAGGGAAGGGGCGGCATCAGGCCAGGGCAGACACACTGAGGCGGGGTACCACCTAGCCTCCAAGCACAGTTACGACTGTTCTTGATTTTGTACACTTGCCTGTTCGGTGTATAAGTCAATTACCATTAAAAAAAAAAAAAAAAAACTGAAACGCGTAAAGAGCGTACGAAGACACGGTTTTCGAACCCACGCACGAAATCCATGGGCGAACGTTACCGAAACCAGCACACCCAGCCACTACCCGTGCGACCATCGAGGAAATCAGCGTGCTAAACCTGGTGGCGAGAAACGAACCCACTGCCATCGTGGCGTCATCACATTGGTTCTGACGATCGTGGCGACATCTGTTCGTGGATAATGCAGTTTCGCCCATCCAAATCACCCCCCCTTGGGAGACCATCTCTTTCGTTCCTCCTTGGGATCTACTCTGGTTGCCTCCCACTCCGTTCAGACCGATTTTCTTTGGTAGCATTCTTGGTTTGCAGGTGTCTTCCTAGCATCCCGCAACCATGGCTGCCACCACCGTCTCCGCCAGCCTCAAGGCCGCGTCCCTTGTGCAGCCTAAGGTCAATGCCGCCTCCCTGAAGGCCGCTCCCGTGTCTCAGGCTTTCGGCCTGAAGGCTGCCTCTTCCAAGGTGTCCTGCTCCCTGGAGGAGAACGTCCGCGGCTTCGTCCAGAAGGCTGCTGATGCCGGCAAGACCGCTGCTCTTGCTCTCGCCTCGACCGCCCTGCTTGCATCGGTGAGTGAATAGTTCTCATTCTTAGTAAATTTGATTTTTGTTTGCACCGCAGTTGCTGACCTAGAAATTCGTGTTTGTATTTGACAGGCTGCCCAGGCTGAGCTTCCCAGGCTGACCTTCGAGGAGCTCCAGAGCCTGACCTACTCGGAGGTGAAGGGCAGCGGCCTCGCCAACCAGTGCCCCATCATCGCTGGTGGTGTTGATGGCTTCGCCTTCAAGTCCGGCAAGTACCAGCTCACCAAGATGTGCCTGGAGCCCACCTCTTTCACCGTGAAGGCCGAGTCCGTGTTCAAGGGCCAGGGCGAGGAGTTCCAGAAGACCAAGCTCATGACCCGCCTCACATACACTCTGGACGAGATCGAGGGTCCCCTTGAGGTCTCTGGCGACAAGGTCAAGTTCACCGAGGTTGACGGCATTGACTACGCCGCCGTTACCGTCCAGCTTTCCGGTGGCGAGAGGGTGCCGTTCCTCTTCACCATCAAGGAGCTTGTTGCCTCCGGCACGCCCGATAGCTTCGGCGGGTCCTTCCTGGTGCCATCTTACCGTGGTGCCACCTTCCTTGACCCCAAGGGCCGTGGTGGTGCCCAAGGGTACGACTCTGCCGTTGCCCTCCCTGCTGGTGGCTTCGGTGACAATGAGGCCCTGAGGAAGGAGAACGAGAAGTCGTACAAGGCTTTGAGCGGCAACATCACCTTCAGCGTCGCCAAGTCGAACGTCGAGACTGGCGAGATCGGTGGAGTGTTCACCAGCGTCCAGCCCTCCGACACTGACATGGGTGCCAAGGTTCCTAAGGAAGTCAAGATCCAGGGCATCTGGTACGCCCAGGTGAACTAGATTACCGAGCATTGTGCCTGTAAATCAAAGAAAGTATCAGAACATTTTTCCCTTTATTCGAAAAATCATAATTCGCCGACATTTCTGTCATGCTGGCTATAATTCTCGGCTGTAAAAAAAGTGCTCCACAATTGTAGAATTGTGCCCAGTGCTCCAACGCCACGAAACTGTCTTGAAATCAGAAGCTGGAACCTAATTTGTGCCCCTTGAATGCTTACTCGCTAGGCACCGTTATTCTAGCTGATTTACTCAGGTAGTGGTGATACGGTAAATGAATCAGCCAAATCCCAGCAATAAAAGCAGGTGTTGAATTGTTTTTTGTGTGTTTCCTAGTACACTATCGGCCGGAACTGGTTATGCGTACATTTGCCACGTGGCATTTTTTCTACCGACCAATCACACAACCCTTGTCAAATCCGCACCGTCGCTTTCGCTGCTCCCTCCTCCCTCCCTCCCCGCCTCATCACCACCACCCCCAACCCAACCGACTTCCCCTCGCCATCCACACCTTCACCTTACGTTGGACAAACTCAACTTCAAGAGCACATTCCTGGACTTCCGCCTGTCCGCCATGGCGTCTCTGCTTGCCTCTTCGTTCTTAGTCTCCGCTCCCGCAGCCTCTCTTGCGAGTTGCGCGACTCTGTCAGAGTCATCGTCGCAGGTTGCCTGTGCAGCGCCCGTGAAACAGGATGCGCTGAAGGTTGTAGGCTATCCACAAGGCAAGTAGGTTAGGGTTTCGCATTGTTCAATAGCTCCTGCAGTCGTCTCGCATTTCGTTTTGATTTCGTGAAAGCAGCAGCATAGTTCAATTTGAGGAGATATGATATAGGTGGTGACGATTATCCCCTCGCCAGTTACGAGGAAAGGAGCTTTTACATTGTACTGCTGTTGTGGTCTCGGATGATCGCTCTGTGCAGTTTATTGTGGTCGTGGGGACAAGCGTACCGCGAAGGGGAAGAGGACCATTGGATCATTTGGCAACGTGAGTTACGATTTTATGTCTGTTCTCATCTGCAAATCCATTATTCTCAAGGAGATGCTGTGTGCTGTCTCATGTGTAAGCCATTAACGGTCCGGGGTCCCTCACTTCACCAATTATCGGCCCTTGTTCCTCCTCCCTCCTCTTCAGTGCCGGCCGAGGTCCTCGAAGGGCAAGAGCCGCCTGGGCCTGCCTCTGACGCCAGTGCCAGCTGGGAGCGGCTCACGCAAGCGGCTCGAAGACGACACAGAGTACATCCACATCGACCTGGACGAGGAGATCAACCGATAAGCTGTCGGCGGATTGGTTCTGTTGAGCATGTACTCTCTTTCCGTACCAATCATAAGTTGCTGTGGGATGCTAGGAATTGGGGTTTTTGTCATGAGTTCCTGGGCCCAAATATCATACTAAATGTTCACGCAATGTGGATATCCTTGGAAGGCAGCTGCTCTTAGAAATTCCCCAAACTGAGATGATGTGCTGCACGGGTAACGCATCAAGTTTGGGCTTGAGTCCGCGGTTTCTCGGTAATGCACTTTCAAAATGTCAATGCCAGAACCATTTTCAGCGATAGTTGTGTGTGCACCACCCAGAGCACACAACACCAGTAGACCAGACCATTTCCTCTTGACCAACCAACATGCAATTCCTAGTTGCTCCAATGAGTCATGGATGTTTGCTAGCGAGCAGCACGCGTCCCACTTTATGCCAGAGGAGTCGTGGGAGGGTGTCGAGTAGCGTGGGGTCGCAATGTCTTGTTTTTAGCCGGAGACGATCAGCGACCATCGTAATTCCCGATTCGCAGCGAATGAAGCTTTTAGGGCATTATTGGGACTTCATGCCCCCGCTTCCCCTTCAGTCTGGGACATTTGCATGTTCAATTGAAAAGCAAAAACGTCCGTGGATCAGTGCTGGTCATGATATGCAGCTCAGCGCTATTCGACATATTGATTCTCGCAACGGCTCCACTACTGCACGAGTGGCGGCTATAGATTGCGGGACTAATGCGCTCAGACTCCTCATATACGAATGCGGCGAAGGAAGTCGTTCATGCTTGCGAAGCAGAGAGCTGGTTCGCGAAACCCGCTCAGTGACTCTTGGGGCTGACGTGGCAGGCACTGGTTCCCTTTCTCCTGACACTGTTTCCACGTGTCTTGATATCTTGAGGGACTTCGCTGGCCTATGTCGTGACCATGGAGTCTCGCGAACGCACATGTGCGCCACGTCAGCGACCAGGCGTGCAGCAAATGCTGCAGATCTTCTCATCCCAGCCGCACAAGTGATTGGCTCAACTCCTGAGATCATTTCAGGGGAAGAAGAGGGCAAGCTGACGTTCCTTGGCGCCACCGCCGCAGTCAGCAGCGTATTGGCGGGGGTAGTGACGGGAGCACCTCTTGCAGTGATAGACATTGGCGGTGGTTCATCAGAGGTGGCCTTAGGCACCATCTCTCCTCCCTTCAGGGATGAAGTTTCCAGTTCCTTCTATTTGTCCTCGTATTCACCCACAATCTCTGGCCCTCACACTATTGCCTCGATTGACATCGGCTCCTCCTCTTTATCGCACTCCTATTCCCTCCACCTCAACCCCACCTCTCCATCGAGTATTGAAGCCGCTCGCCGTGCTGCCAGGGAGGACTACCGCTGCAAACTCTCTCCTGCACTGTCAACGGACTGGTTCAAGCACATTGATCAAGTAGGAGGGAGTATTTCGTCTGGAGTGGCAATATGAGTGGAGAGAGTGGTGGTGGGCACAGGAGGGATACTGACAACTCTTGCCGCCCTTGCTCAGGGCGTTCCATACACAAGGGAGAAAGTTCAAGGTTTCGTTTTGGATGTGGAAATGGCGAAAGGGATACTCGACAGCAGGGCCCTCGTTATCATACAAATTTGGTCTGAATTTCTGATTTCCAGACGTGATTTTTTTTATTCATCTGATTTCTAAGAAATTCTGTTTTTCCTCATATGAGGAGCAAGACAAAAGGTTTACGTTCGTATGATTTTCCAGACCATGTAGAATACTTCGTCCGATTTTACAGATATCGAGTTCGGTTTCGTCTGAAACCGACAATTTTGCCCACTAGGCCATAGGACCACTAGGCCATATGCCCAGTAGACCAAAGGACCACATGTACAAGTATCGTTGCTGCCCTGTACCTGCACGCGCATTCAATGTGCGTGTCTTGTAGCAGCCTCGCTGTCACGAACCTGCGGCATTTGCTGCCAGGAGACTGTCGTGTAGCTGGCTGTCGGCGCCGTTGCCAGCCACAGCCACAGCAACGCGCTGTCACATTGTGCCAGCCAGCGCACTTCCCTTTCCTACACGTTAGGTAAAAAAGGACGGTGGTTGTCCTGTCCCCCGCTGCCATCCCGCATCGCCCTTTGATGTACACACTGCACGATGACGGGGGGGTCTCATGCAGCTGAGCGGTAGCGTTTGATAAACAGGCTGATTGTGGAGCTCGTTCTCCTCACCTTTCACCCAGCCGAGCATGGTTTGTTTCCCTCGTCACATCTTCTTTCATCTAGTTTAGGCTATGGCCGACCCCACCGCTCCTGCGCCAGGGGTTTCGGCGTTAGACTTCCTAACGCGGGGCAAGCCGATCGCCCCTGTTGCCCCACCAACTGCTTCAACCTCTGCTGCGGTACCTACGCCCATTGACGATGCGCCATTGTCGGAAAATGGCGATAACTCTGTGCCATCGACCGCTACACCTACTACGCCAGTATCTACTTGCATGCCGTCCTGCGGTGCCGATAACAACGTCCGTGTAGTATCTGACGCTCCCAAATCCTCTCTCAGGGCTAACCCCGTCTTGCCCGACAGGTCATCAAACGGGCGGTACAAGCAGCGTGTTTTGAACTTCGCGCGTCCGGGCGGTCCGACACAGCCGGCACCGTCTGTTGAGACGCGACCCGTGGCTCCCGAACCCGCGGCTAAAGACTTCGAGGACCCCAAAGGCAAGAAGCAGTCGGTTGAGGAGCTTCAGCTGAAGTGCAAGGAGCAGTGGCAGCGGTACTTTCCCTGGCTATTCATCTCCGAAACCAAGGATGGCCGACCCTGCATGCGCTGCAGCGTCTGCATGGTTTTCGCCGACCCCCACTCCAAGTACGGGCGCTACGGTGTTGGTGGCACAGACATTCAGAAGCAGACGATGCGCAAGCATCACCACAGCCTGAAGCATGAGGCGGCGGTCCTGCGGAAGGAGCAACGTGACGGAGCGAAGAAAGGACAGAAGTCCATTGTGGACTTTCACCAAGGGGACGAGGACGTCAAGCGCCTTGCTCGTCTGATGTCGATTGTTTTGTTCATTTGCAAGTCTGACGCACCCATTGTGCTCTTCGTGTCACTCGTCCAGTTCATGGCTGAGCAGGGGACGCCGGATCTGCCCCTCAAGGAGAACAGGACGTACTACAGCGAGTAAGTGTCCCGTCTTTCACGTTTTGTGGTTTGTTTTCTTATATTTGCTAACGAGATTATTCCATGTTCCAGGTACGGTTTCGCACAACTGGTCGAAACTATGGTGTGCTACCTCAAATCCCGACAATTGAAACACATCCGCGACAGTCCTTACCTCGGTATCCAGCTTGACGAGAGCACCGACAGACGAAAGGGAAAACACATGATCGTCTACATGACGTTCATGCGTGACAACGCTCCCGTCACTGAGTTCTACGCATTGCTGACTGTGGAGCAGTGTGACGCCGCTTCGCTCACGACCGTTCTCCTTACCCACTTGGAGTGTAGCGGCATCGACCTCCAGCGAATCTCCGGCATGAGCACTGATGGAGCTAGTGTCATGATCGGCCAGCACAACGGAGTGACCGCGCGCCTCAAGGATAAAGTTCCACATATCGTGTCGTCGCACTGCATCGCGCACAGGCAAGTGTTATCGTGATTAAGGGAACATGCGGGCTTGTTCTGTACATGATTTATAACGTATCGTTACTTGTTCGCTTTCTTTGCAGGGAGGCCTTGGCTGCCAAAGATGCAGCCATCAAACACCCGGATTTTAACGTCGTGGACAAAGTGGTTCGCGCCGTTGCTGAGAACCTCGGTCGTTCTTCTGTCGTCCACTCACGCTTCATTGAGCTGCAGGAGGTAATCTGCGAGACCAACCTCGAAGTTCAAGGAATCAAGGACGTCCGATGGTTGTCTCACGGTCAAGCTCTCGGGCGCTTGGTAAAAGTAATTCCGGCGGCAGTGTTTGTCTTGCACGAGTTCGACAACAAGATGTATGACGTCATCACTAGCTACAAGTTTCAATTCATGCTGTTTTTCCTGGCGAATGTGCTGAAGGAGCTCAACATTCTGAGCTTGAAGTTCCAGCGTCGCCAGGTGAGCGTGTGTTAGTCATTACAAGCAGCGGTTGTTTACAACCCCACGCGGAGTACTAACCTCTCTTGTGCTTCGTTTCAGGTTGACGCGACCCATGTGCTGCCGATGGTACACAACACGACCTTGCTGCTGCGCACACGTTACCTCGACGCCGACGACGAGTCTTTTGGCCAGGGCGGAGATGCTTTGGGCCCCTTCCTCAAGAAGCACGCGTCCAGGGAATGCCGAGAGGTGAAGCTGGCTGGCACATCATCCGACGGAACTTCGACCGACCTTACCTACACACTCCACGAGAAGCCCATCAAGGGGCAGAAGACTGGTGCGGACCACGGTGCGTGTATGGAGTTGGCGCGCGCGTTCGTGGCGACCTTGATCGGCAGGCTCGATCACCGCCTCAAGGACCTCGCCAACCTCGACGGGGCGAAGCTGTTCAAGCAGGGGTCGTATCCCAAGAACCAGTCCAAGCGAGAGCGGAAACTTGGACAGTGGCTGCAGTCGCTGCGCAATATGTTTAAGAAGAAGCCTGAAGACCCCGACACCATACCAGGTGCGTAAAATACTTGAAATTCTTAGCCTATGTGATGATTGCTGAACCAGATTACAGCATGGCACGCTTTACCTGAATGTTTCATTTCTGTTGCACCTACTTCCCATTGCGAACCACACCCCGCAGGCATCAACTGGTCGCGAGCGCAGAGGGAAATCGTCACGTTCTCTACGATCATGGCCACACACCAGGAGGATGTGGGCTTCGCCGACAGCCTGAAGCTGATGCTGTCTTCTCCCGACTGGACGACGTGCTACCCGAATCTCGTGCACTTGTGGATCGCCGTCGCCGTTCTTCCGCTCAGCACGGTTGAGTGCGAGCGCGGCTTCTCACGGCAGAATGTGATCAAGAGCTGGCTTCGCGGGAACCTGTGTGACGCGAAGCTAGGGGAGCTGATGACCATCTCGCTTCTCAGCTATGACATGGAGTGGCCCGAGTTATCGAGGAGGTTCAACGCTTCGAAGAAACGAAGGCCTGCCAAGGATGTGCTGATGGCTTCCGGGGAGAGACAAAGCAAGCGCGCGAAGAAAAGATCTGCCTCAGCAGCAGCAGCAGCCGCAGCATTGGCAGCAGCAGAAGTTGCAGCCCGAGAAGCAGCCTTAGCAGCAGAAGCCGCAAGGCTTGATGCAGAATTCCCCTGGCTCAGTCGGAAAGATAGGGGAAAAGCTCCTGACCCTTTTGCGGAGAGCGAGGATGACCTTGATGAGGACGACAGCGCTGATAGTGACTCTGACTAGGTTGCTAGCTAGTTATCAAGGATGTGCTAACTGCTTAACATATTATAACAGTGTTAGGTTCAGACCGGGGTTTTATTTTCGTCTGTAAGATCAGACTCTGTAGAATTTTTCGTATTTACTTTAAGACAACTGAAAGTTGGTCATCTAGGCGTAAGAGGATTTTTTTTTGTTTACTTATACTCTCAGACAGGTCCAAAACATAGCGAGAGCCCTGCTCGACAGGTGCGCAGGAATGACACGAGAGGAGAAAGCTCGCTTACCTGGCATGTGGGAAGGCCATGTGGACGTGATTATTGGGGGCATTTGTGCTGTGTTATCGTTAATGGAAGTGCTTCAGTGCACAAAATGCATTGTGTCAGAGTCGGATCTCCTGGATGGAATGATTATCAAACTTTGCTCATGTATGGAAAATTTGTAAATGATCATATCTCATAAAACATGGCCGATTGCACCTTGAGCAGTCTTTATTGGAAGGCGGTTGACATTATTTCAGTGGTTGCAAGGAATGCACAAATGAAAAGCTTATACAATTCAGAGAATATTTTCCATAAATATTTGGAGTACCGGTACTGACTGTACTTGTTCACGACCTTAGCGAAATTGCCACATCTCTGAATTTCCGTCGTCAGCGAAGGGGTCTGTGTGATTTGACGAGTTCCGGCGACCATCAGGAGCCAAGCCTCCCCTCCCCTGCTTTCCATCACAACCTGCTTTCCATCACAATCGTGCTGCTGTTGGTCACTGGGCACTTGTTCGGAATGGATCCCTCAGTGCAGCTTCAGGTTCCCAGACAGTAACTCTAATTTCGTTGTGTGAGAGGTATTTCTGGTTACGTAGGTGAGTGGTGAAGAAGGCATCATTATGGCTTTTGGTTGTGGGTCGTTTTCCGGTTCATCCTGGCCAGCAGTCGAATCCATACAGCCACACCAGGTCTCAGTTGTCTTTTTAAGCAGGTAAGCGCTTATCGTACCGTATGGTTCCCTATTGTAAGTCGGATTGACACCTTTCTTTTCCTCGAACAGACTCGGCGTATCCTCCTTGCGAGATGTCGAACCTGATTGCTGCGATAACCTTTTGGCGAAACTCCAAAAAGAGGAGGTTTTTACAGGATTACTGCTTGGTGGCGGTCTGGTCATCACAACCCGTTCCGCTGTGCCGTCAAAAGAGGCAGCAGCAGGTTTGAGTTTGTTGGCGTTCTCGGCTCCCGTTATACGGAAGAACAAGAAAGGAGCTCATGCTACGGCTCAACTGATCTGCGCATCCAAACCTCTATCCCCAGAGAGGTTCGTACTGGAATGAATGCCTAGTAGTCTTGGTATAGATATCTAATATACTCCATCCTGACAGGGCATTTGCAACAAATGAGGCGCTCGGTGTCACAATCGTCGCATGCGAACACCTGTCCTGCGGAGAGGAACATGCTTCAGTCGCGTGCAGTGTCTCGTCATTGTCTCGAACCCTTGGAATCGGCTCGAATGCTTTTCTGCTCGTCTATTACTTCGCAGCTCTACGTCTTCCACAAGGAAGCTCATCAAAGATATCTGCTGAGAGCATTCCATCCACTGCTCTTTCATGGAAGCTGAAAAAGGGTCGCGTACTGGAACTCCACAATTCAAAAGTGGCCTCACATTCAGTGGAAACAGGCAAAATCGGGATTCAATTTCCTAGCTCTCGCTCTTTCCTGTCAAGCAAAAACGGCAAATCAGGTGGCCAGCGTGACTTCACAGTTCCAAGCTGTGTGGTGTTCAACAACGATGGTGAAGTTGCCTCCATAGTGGACCATGGTATGTTCCTTGATGTCAAAGCTTCACTGATGCGAGTGCACATCCCGAGTGAGTGTACTAATACTGTTTCACTTGGTGACAACCAGATGCAATAAGCAAGGCTCAAGTTCAGGCTACGCCAGTGAGTGCGGCTCTTGAGTGGATTTCAAGTATGTATGACACGACCGGTACCAGCATAAGGCTTCCTCCCATCGGCTCTCCCAACGGGAGCAGCACCGGTGAGCAAATCCTGGCAGAAGCAGCAGTAGAGGAGCGGCTGACAGAACCAGTATCAGGAAGTAGTTATGACGCCTCCCCAGAAGCAGCATCTGAATCTGTGCCCGGTAACTTGGACACAGCCACGGAGCAAAGGGGTGAAGATTCACTGGAGCAGGGTGATGCATCAGCTCCTGATGCTGTGGATGCAAGTTCACCGACCGATCAAGTTAACGAGACCAATGTCACTGCAAACTCTGACAGTGGGGTGGGTGCTGCTAATTCCACAGCTGATAATGAGGAATGTCATGCTGTGGAAGTGCCTTCTACTAACCAGATGGCAGCGGATGTTGTGGAGAGTGCGCATGTTGACACCATTGCTCCCATGCAATCCGCTGAGAAGCAGAAGCTAAGTCATGAAGAGCTAAAAGCACGCATAATGGGTTATGGCAACACGAGCGTTCTGATGAAGAGACAGCAAGCTCGAGCAGACGTTTCCAGGCATGTAGAGTTAGCTGGTATAGCTGCTGGCGTGCAGGCAACGGCAGGTGGAGCCAAAAATAACTCATCCATCAGCTCCTCTGCAGAAGGGAGAGGCTCTGAGGGTGGCTTCATTGGGGAAACAGGCAGTATCTCACGTAAGCCAGCACTCTGGCGATTTGGATCGACTGGCCAGCAGGCAGCTGCAGCCACAATGGCATCAGATGCAGCAGGAAACGAGGGAGTCTCTCAGAAGACTGCATTGAACAACATGCCATCCCTGCAAATGATCGTGGCTGCTCCTGTAGCAGCATTTGTGGGATTGGGGACGAAAATGAGTGGTGCAATGGTGGATCTTGGAAGTGCACTCAGGAAACACCAAGAGCATGGAGCTCAGGTGGCTGAGATGAGTGAATTGGACAAGAAGAAGCTCCAGGTATGAATCGATTAAGCATGTCAGGGAAGATTCGAGGATGTGTCATTGAGCTGACGCTATGTACTTGTTGAGTGCAGGAACAAGAGGTGCGCAGGCAAGATGCATACAAAAATGCTTCTGCATCCCTCTTCAAAACGAGTCACCATCAAGAGCAGCTATCCACCCCAAACCTGCAAGTCCTCCCACCCGATATGGAGAACCCTGAGAACGTTTTACACCTGGATCAAGCTGCTGACGTTGAGGTTGGTGATGCAAGGGGTTTGGAGTCACAAGCGAGTGCAGGGGCTGGTTGCAACGTGATGTTTGGAGTAAAAGAAGGTGATGAGAAGGATGGAGATGATTTCAGCAAAGGGAAGGAGGCCACTGAGGCTAGTGGGGATGGGGCCAGTGAAGGAAGAGTACCATGTGAGCTGGATGGAGGCGAAGGCATAGGCATGGGAGGAGGTGCCTATGCGTGTGATCATTCAACAGCCTTGGGCGGAAGCCTCAGTATAGACTTGTCCAAAGAGATGAAGGGCGAGCATTCGTCAGAGATTGTTGTTGGTGCGAGGTCCAGTGACGGGTCAAGCAAGTCAAGTGAGCAGTCCCACCACAGCCACTCCAGAGACAGCACCGGCAGCAGCAGCAACTCAACAGACCGTGTCAAAGAGAAGTGGCCTCTTGCGACCCGAGCGAGCACTGAGAGCATCTCCATGGGCACACGGCGTCCACGGGTCATATTGGATGACCACTGGTGGAAGACGAAGCTGGTTGGTGAGGAGCCTGGGCGTCGTCTCGTGGCTGCTCAGCTAGCTAGGGAGGCGATGCTGATGCGAGGGGGGTCAGGTAATGTCTCACGGCTGGAGGGACGCGTTGGGGGACTGGAGGCGCCCACTCCTCTTGCATCACGTTCCAATTCTGGAGTCCCACTGACTATAAGGAAGGGAACCACCACAACAGAGCTCCATGAGGAAGGAACGGATGTGGCTCAGGGTTCCAATGCTGATGGTTCCAAGCCTGAGGAGGAAGGAGAAAGTAGGCCTGATGGAGCTGCTGGTGCCTCTCGAGTCCTTGCTGCGAAGCATGCAACTGGCCCACCTGGAAGTGCTGTTGATGAAGCGAGTGCATGCATGGAGAAGGCGTTGGAGCAAGCTGGTGGTGATGATGACATTGCGTTTCACGGAGCACAAGGAAACCATCTAGTGGGCAAAGGATCTGCTGCAACAGAACTGGCGAAGGTTGAAGTCATGGTGCCCGGCACTGCTGACCAGGCTGATGTGGAGGCACAACAGCAGCCATGCCAGAAGGCGACTGCCAATCAAGACTCTCGGTGAGTTTTTTTTCCGTTAGTTATACCTTCCACTTGTCACTTCCAGTCTCTCATCCATGGCTCTCAGGGTGTGCAATACGGAGCACAAGACCCCCTTGAAGACGATCCCTCCTCCGGTGGACAAGCGGCTGCAGTCAGGCTTTGATGGGCTCATGCAGGCAATCGAGTCGCTGGCGACCATGAGTGTTTCCCGCTCTCCTGGAGCCAAGCCATGGGCCTCAAGCAACCGAGGAACAGACAAGGGAGGAACCGGCCGGATCACGCAGCCCTCAAGCCCTGTATTGGGATATGATGGAGCAGTAATTGATCAGGGGAAGCGTCAAACTGATCCGAGGCAAGCTGCGGCTGGGGTCACAAGACAACCAGCAATGGCTTCAGTCACTTCTTTTTCCAACAACACTCAAAGCTCTTCAACTGGTGAGAAACGTTCTGCAGCTGCATTGTGTATGAATTGCGTGCAGCATCCTGCGTAGTTTCACATCCTCTATGTTTGACTGGCAGGTCACAGGCTCCCTGCAGCATCACCGGAGCACACTGAAGAGTTTGCTCACAGGGCAGGGGTGCTGAGCCTGCAGCAGCAGGCAGCGTGGCTGTGGGGCAGTGCACAGCACATGGCTGCACGGGGCACAAGGGCCAGCTCTGCATCAAGCGATGGGGACTCCCAGGCCAGGGGTAGCAGTACAGAACGTGACAGGATGAGTGGAAGGGCGAGTGATAGGGTGAGTGGGCTGTCAGGTATACCAAGTGCCAGAAGCAGCTCGAATATGAGGAGCAGTGCTGGAGGAGTGGGGGCTGGGAAGAGCCCAGCGCCTGTTGCTGACTTGATGACTGGAAAGCAGGCTTATGAGTATTTGAAGGAGCATCAGAAGGAATGTGCACATATGGGACCTCGTACTCTTCATTGACACGCAATGTGGTAGACTGGAGTACCGAGGAATACTGCATGTGAAAACTACCGAAGCAGACTGGTCCCTGATCTGAACCTGGGGTTCCTTGTAGTTTCTCTACATTTCAACCACACTCTAGATATTAGAAACCAATAAGGTGGTGCATGATTTTCCCATATGCATGTGATAAGAGAATGAGAATCTGAAGTGTCTGTGCCCCTTTTTTGTTCCACTGCGTTGGACATAGGTAGGCCTGCCAACGTTGATCAAATAGGGAAAGCTGACAAAGATTCTACTGTGAATTGAGTTCACTTTTGACAAGAGATCCCATTCTATAATGATCAGCGCTAGCTAGAAACTAGTTTTTCAAGCGCGCCGCCGAGCTATGCGGAGTATTAATTCGAACTCCTTTTCGCGCCACCTACGTAACCCAATCAGACTTGAACCATCGCCCTCTCTACAGACAAACCATCAAAACACGGCGACACTAGCGTGTCCTACAGTCTCGCGAGGATTGACGCGTTCCCCAACCCAGCCACATCCATTCCCGCTGGTGCAACCGCCTTCCGCATCTCCTGCCCGTTCCCCCCTTCCTTTTTCTCGTCTCGTCGTTTGCGCATCTTCCCATCGCGGAGGATCCCGACCAGCGCCGCGCGGGTTTTCCGCGCGCGAGGCGATGCGCGGAGGGGTGGACTCGGAGGGGCGGCAGTATGCGTCGGCAGACGAAATGTGGCGGCAGGAGGCGGGGGAGCGCGCAGTGAGCGCAGGGGAAGGGAAAAGCGAGGAGGGCGCAATGGAGGCGGAAACGGGTGGGAAGAAGCGCGAATGGTACGACAAGGGCGTCAAGTACTGGGAGGTGCGCGCTGCCTCTCCCCCTCCCTCTCCTCTCTCCCGTCTCCCTCATTTCTCGCAACTGCATTTTCCTCTTGCCTCCCACCCCTGCGCCGTGTATCTCAAGGGCGTGAAGGCTGGACGGCGTTTTGGGGGGCTACGGCGCGTTTTGAGGCGCCTTTCCCCCGTTTCCCCCCTCCCTTTCCCCCGCTCCCTCTCCCCTTCGTGCATCCCAAGGGCGTGGAGGCGAGTGTGGACGGCGTGTTGGGGGGATACGGCGCAGTGAGCTCAACAGACGCGGCGGGCAGCGCGGCCTTCCTGCACGAGGTGTATGGCGCACAGCTCGACGCTGCCCGCTCACAGGGCCGCCCGCTTGTCGCTCTGGGTGCGTGTGAGAGAGGAGGGGGTGGGGAGGAGGGGGTGGGGTAAAGGGGGCAGTGCGGCGTTCCTGCAGGAGGTGTATGGCGCACAGCTCGACTCCGCCCGCTCACAGGGCCGGCCGCTGGCCGCTCTGGGTGCGTGCCGTGAGAGGGGAGGGGGTGGGGAGGAGAGGGGGAGTAAGTCACAGGCTCGGGCATAAGATCAAAGGCTCGGACATGGGGTCGCTAATTTGAATCCACTCTCCATCTGCCCTGCGCCATGCATCACAACTTCAGCTCCTTCGTGTTGCATGCTGCACCATCCCCCTTTCCCTTCCTCTGTCTCCCTTCACCGCCCCACCATCTCGCGTGGCAGACTGTGGGGCGGGCATAGGGCGAGTGACCAAGGAGTTCCTACTGCACGTATTCAACGAGGTGGGTGGGGTGAGGTGTGCTGTGCTGTTCGTGCACATCACACCACATGGCATTCCAGTGTGCCTGCATGACACTGTGACTGCACCTTATGGACCATCGCATGTTCACGTTCAGTTGATCTGATTTCCCCTCTGTGGCTGCGCTGCCAGGTGGATCTAGTGGAGCCAGTACGGCACTTCATAGATGCCGCCCGGGACCACCTCGCCTCGCCGCCCTCCTCTGCCGCCTCGCCTGCCGCCTCTCACCGTGCCGTCAACTTCTTCTGCTGCCCGCTCCAGGTGCTGCCTTCCCAGGTGCTGCCTTCCCAGGTGCTGCCTTCCCAGGTGCTGCCTTTCCCAAGTAAATCCGCCTTTCTGCGTGTTACTTAACATGCATTGTCGCTTCCGTCCCCCTCCCAGCATCAGCATCAGCATCAGCATCAGCATCAGCGCATCAGCATTAGCATCAGCATCAGCATCAGCATCAGCATCAGCGTCAGCATCAGCATCAGCATCAGCATCAGCATCAGCATCAGCGCATCAGCATCAGCATCAGCATCAGCATCAGCATCAGCGCATCAGCATCAGCATCAGCATCAGCATCAGCATCAGCATCAGCGCATCAGCATCAGCATCAGGATCAGCATCAGCATCAGCGCATCAGCATCAGCATCAGCATCAGCATCAGCATCAGCATCAGCATCAGCATCAGCGCATCAGCATCAGCATCAGCATCAGCATCAGCATCAGCATCAGCGCATCAGCATCAGCATCAGCATCAGCATCAGCGCATCAGCATCAGCATCAGCATCAGCATCAGCATCAGCATCAGCATCAGCATCAGCATCAGCGCATCAGCGTCAGCATCAGCATCAGCATCAGCATCAGCATCAGCATCAGCATCAGCATCAGCGCATCAGCATCAGCATCAGCATCAGCGCATCAGCGTCAGCATCAGCATCAGCATCAGCATCAGCATCAGCATCAGCATCAGCATCAGCATCAGCATCAGCGCATCAGCATCAGCATCAGCATTAGAATCAACATCAGCGCATCAGCATGAGCATCAGCATCAGCGCATCAGCATCAGCATCAGCATCAGCATCAGCGCATCAGCATCAGCATCAGCATTCGCATCAGCATCAGCATCAGCATCAGCATCAGCATCAGCATCAGCGCATCAGCATCAGCATCAGCGCATCAGCATCAACGCATCAGCATCAGCATCAACGCATCAGCATCAGCATCAGCATCAGCATCAGCATCAACGCATCAGCATCAGCATCAGCATCAGCATCAGCATCAGCATCAGCGCATCAGCATCAGCGCATCAGCATTAGCGCATCAACATCAGCATCAGCGCATCAGCATCAGCGCATCAGCATCAGCATCAGCATCAGCATCAGCGCATCAGCATCAGCATCAGCATCAGCATCAGCATCATCGCATCAGCATCAGCATCAGCATCAGCATCAGCATCAGCATCAGCATCAGCATCAGTATCAGCGCATCAGGATCAGCATCAGCATCAGTGCATCAGCATCAGCATCAGCATCAGCATCAGCATCAGCATCAGCATCAGCATCAGCGCATCAGCATCAGCATCAGCATCAGCATCAGCATCAGCATCAGCGCATCAGCATCAGCATCAGCATCAGCATCAGCATCAGCATCAGCGCATCAGCATCAGCATCAGCATCAGCATCAGCGCATCAGCATCAGCATCAGCATCAGCGCATCAGCATCAGCATCAGCATCAGCATCAGCATCAGCATCAGCATCAGCGCATCAGCATCAGCATCAGCATCATCGCATCAGCATCAGCATCAGCATCAGCATCAGCGCATCAGCATCAGCGCATCAGCATCAGCATCAGCATCATCATCAGCATCAGCATCAGCGCATCAGCATCAGCATCAGCATCAGCATCAGCGCATCAGCATCAGCATCAGCGCATCAGCATCAGCATCAGCATCAGCATCAGCATCAGCATCAGCGCATCAGCATCAGCATCAGCATCAGCATCAGCATCAGCGCATCAGCATCAGCATCAGCATCAGCATCATCGCATCAGCATCAGCATCAGCATCAGCATCAGCCCATCAGCATCAGCGCATCAGCATCAGTATCAGCATCATCATCAGCATCAGCATCAGCATCATCATCAGCATCAGCATCAGCATCAGCATCAGCATCAGCATCAGCATCAGCGCATCAGGATCAGCATCAGCATCAGCGCATCAGCATCAGCATCAGCATCAGCATCAGCATCAGCGCATCAGCATCAGCATCAGCATCAGCATCAGCATCAGCATCAGCATCAGCATCAGCATCAGCATCAGCATCAGCATCAGCGCATCAGCATCAGCATCAGCATCAGCATCAGCGCATCAGCATCAGCATCAGCATCAGCGCATCAGCATCAGCATCAGCATCAGCATCAGCATCAGCATCAGCGCATCAGCGCATCAGCATCAGCATCAGCATCAGCATCAGCATCAGCATCAGCATCAGCGCATCAGCATCAGCATCAGCATCAGCATCAGCATCAGCGCATCAGCATCAGCATCAGCATCAGCATCAGCATCAGCGCATCAGCATCAGCATCAGCATCAGCATCAGCATCAGCATCAGCATCAGCGCATCAGCATCAGCATCAGCATCAGCATCAGCATCAGCATCAGCATCAGCATCAGCGCATCAGCATCAGCATCAGCATCAGCATCAGCGCACCAGCATCAGCATCAGCATCAGCATCAGCATCAGCATCAGCATCAGCGCATCAGCATCAGCATCATCGCATCAGCATCAGCATCAGCATCAGCATCAGCGCATCAGCATCAGCGCATCAGCATCAGCATCAGCATCATCATCAGCATCAGCATCAGCATCAGCATCAGCATCAGCGCATCAGCATCAGCATCAGCATCAGCATCAGCATCAGCATCAGCATCAGCGCATCAGCATCAGCATCAGCATCAGCGCATCAGCATCAGCATCAGCATCAGCATCAGCATCAGCGCATCAGCATCAGCATCAGCATCAGCATCAGCATCAGCGCATCAGCATCAGCATCAGCATCAGCATCAGCATCAGCATCAGCATCAGCGCATCAGCATCAGCATCAGCATCAGCATCAGCATCATCGCATCAGCATCAGCATCAGCATCAGCATCAGCATCAGCATCAGCGCATCAGCATCAGCGCATCAGCATCAGCATCAGCATCATCATCAGCATCAGCGCATCAGCATCAGCATCAGCATCAGCATCAGCATCATCGCATCAGCATCAGCATCAGCATCAGCGCATCAGCATCAGCATCAGCATCAGCATCAGCATCAGCATCAGCGCATCAGCATCAGCATCAGCATCAGCATCAGCGCATCAGCATCAGCATCAGCATCAGCATCAGCGCACCAGCATCAGCATCAGCATCAGCATCATCGCATCAGCATCAGCATCAGCATCAGCGCATCAGCATCAGCGCATCAGCATCAGCATCAGCATCATCATCAGCATCAGCATCAGCGCATCAGCATCAGCATCAGCATCAGCATCAGCATCAGCATCAGCGCATCAGCATCAGCATCAGCGCATCAGCATCAGCATCAGCATCAGCATCAGCATCAGCGCATCAGCATCAGCATCAGCATCAGCATCAGCATCATCGCATCAGCATCAGCATCAGCATCAGCATCAGCGCATCAGCGTCAGCATCAGCATCAGCATCAGCATCAGCATCAGCATCAGCATCAGCGCATCAGCATCAGCATCAGCATCAGCATCAGCATCAGCATCAGCATCAGCATCAGCATCAGCATCAGCATCAGCATCAGCATCAGCATCAGCGCATCAGCATCAGCATCAGCATCAGCGCATCAGCATCAGCATCAGCATCAGCATCAGCGCATCAGCATCAGCATCAGCGCATCAGCATCAGCATCAGCATCAGCATCAGCATCAGCATCAGCATCAGCATCAGCATCAGCGCATCAGCGCATCAGCATCAGCATCAGCATCAGCATCAGCATCAGCATCAGCATCAGCGCATCAGCATCAGCATCAGCATCAGCATCAGCATCAGCATCAGCGCATCAGCATCAGCATCAGCATCAGCATCAGCATCAGCGCATCAGCATCAGCATCAGCATCAGCATCAGCATCAGCATCAGCGCATCAGCATCAGCATCAGCATCAGCATCAGCATCAGCATCAGCGCATCAGCATCAGCATCAGCATCAGCATCAGCGCATCAGCATCAGCATCAGCATCAGCATCAGCGCATCAGCATCAGCATCAGCATCATCGCATCAGCATCAGCATCAGCATCAGCATCAGCGCATCAGCATCAGCGCATCAGCATCAGCATCAGCATCATCATCAGCATCAGCATCAGCATCAGCATCAGCATCAGCTCATCAGCATCAGCATCAGCGCATCAGCATCAGCATCAGCATCAGCATCAGCATCAGCATCAGCATCAGCGCATCAGCATCAGCATCAGCATCAGCATCAGCATCAGCATCAGCGCATCAGCATCAGCATCAGCATCAGCATCAGCATCATCGCATCAGCATCAGCATCAGCATCAGCGCATCAGCATCAGCATCAGCATCAGCATCAGCGCATCAGCATCAGCATCAGCATCAGCATCAGCGCATCAGCATCAGCATCAGCATCAGCATCAGCATCAGCATCAGCGCATCAGCATCAGCATCAGCATCAGCATCAGCATCAGCGCATCAGCATCAGCATCAGCATCAGCATTAGCATCAGCGCATCAGCATCAGCATCAGCATCAGCATCAGCATCAGCGCATCAGCATCAGCATCAGCATCAGCATCATCGCATCAGCATCAGCATCAGCATCAGCGCATCAGCATCAGCGCATCAGCATCAGCATCAGCATCATCATCAGCATCAGCGCATCAGCATCAGCATCAGCATCAGCATCAGCATCAGCATCATCGCATCAGCATCAGCATCAGCATCAGCGCATCAGCATCAGCATCAGCACCAGCATCAGCATCAGCATCAGCATCAGCGCATCAGCATCAGCATCAGCATCAGCATCAGCATCAGCATCAGCATCAGCGCATCAGCATCAGCATCAGCATCAGCATCAGCATCAGCATCAGCGCATCAGCATCAGCATCAGCATCAGCGCATCAGCATCAGCATCAGCATCAGCATCAGCATCAGCATCAGCGCATCAGGATCAGCATCAGCATCAGCGCATCAGCATCAGCATCAGCATCAGCATCAGCATCAGCATCAGCGCATCAGCATCAGCATCAGCATCAGCATCAGCATCAGCATCAGCATCAGCATCAGCATCAGCGCATCAGCATCAGCATCAGCATCAGCATCAGCATCAGCATCAGCATC